ATGGTAACTAGGCTGAAGTCATTCATGCTTCAAGTCTGCCTTCAACCGGAAAGGTCCACAAATTGATACAATCTTCAGGAATGATTTATATGGAAAACTATATATGGTTTCCATTTCGATTTCTAGTAGACTATTAAAATGTTCTCAAAGAAATTATATCCAGACATAGGAAGTGGCCCTATACTGAGTCAGACTGTTGTCCACACCAGCCAGTACTAACCATACTGCCTTGCTATGGATATCCAGGGTTTCTGGGTAGGATTCCTTCCTCCCTTACCTGGGTAGGATTCCTTCCTCTGGAAATTGCACCTGAGACCTTCTGTATGCAAAACATATGGTCTACTACTAAGCTTTGCCCCCCTGCCAAGTCCCTTCCTCTGCTATGAAACTGGGAGAGGAATCGTTTGGAACTTTGAAGAGGAGCATAACTATTTAATTTATTTATTTTTAACTTTTGAAATGAGAAACATTAACATATTGATGCAAGTATTTTAAAAATAGTAATGCAGAAATTAAAACAAAACAATGTTGAGTAGAATGATCCCCCACTCCCCCCAAAAAGATCACATTTTTTTAAAAAAAATTCAAGTTCTGACAACCAAACAAAATGTACAAAAACCCATGGAAAAGGCCAGGTCTGTTCGGGTTAATATCATGATGTTAATGGGAAAAAACACTGAAAAACATTCGAAACCACAGGACAAATGTCAGTGTAGATGTAACTTAAGAATTAAAGCACCCCTGCACATAAAGGAGGAGGTTCAGATATGTTATAGCATTGTGCACTACATGCACACGTTATTTTTCTGTGTAGCTTTGCCTCAGACAAGCACAAATGCCCCATATGCCCAAAATTCTGTCCCCGGACACCTACATAATGTGGTCCCTCTCCACCCTTAAAATCCCTGTCAGAATTAGCCCAGCTCACTAAGAGCTCATTCTCCACTAACAATAAGCCTGAGCCCCTGGAGGAAGGCTAGATTCTTTCTCTCCTCCTCCTCCTGCTTCTCTCATCTCCATTCCCATCCCCTCTTACTCTCTTTCATCTCTGCCTAAGCCACCATTTAAAGTACTAGATTACAAATATAATAAGATTGTCTTGTGGAAGTGCCATAAAGATATAAAACATTTTTTTAAAAGCAATGAAATATTTCCAGATTTCTTCTATTTCTCCCTCCAAGATGGTTTGGCAATGGCTAACATGCTTTCCCAAAGGAAATTTATTGTCCTCAGTGTTTGGATACTTGCTTGGGCTCTGCCCCAGGCATTTCTTTCCTTGCACAATGTTCTCAAACTGCTGAAACTCCCTGTGCTTTAATTTCTATAGAACTGTTCAGTCCTTAAACTGCTGTGTCAGCACAAAAAGCTATATAGCTCATTAGTGGTTTGAGGACTGCAATCTTTGTTTGTACAATGGGAGTCATGCCGCTGGCTCATGCTATTCAAGTACTGCTAGTAAGAAAATTAATGTATTTGAATTGATGTATATTCTTTGAACATTTCTGCTCCTGGTCATGATTAAAACCAATTGCCTGCAAAAGGAAAAACAGTTTAAGCGATCAAAATGATCTGCCCCTCAACTTAACACTTGCACTGATTTTATTCTTTTTTTCTATGCTGGTTGGGGCAACTGGAATATCTTACTTCTAAACACAGCTAAATTTCTAAAATATACAGAATAAATATTCTAATTGTTCCAGATTAATCAGCCTTTCTATAATATTCTAATGCACTTTCTATATAGCAACTGAGAAGCTTAATGAAAAATACAGGTGTTTCTCTGCCTTTAAGCGTCCTAATAGATCTTCAGGGAGATGACTCGATGAGGGGAAAAGTTCCCTCCCATTTCTACAACCAAATTATTAATGACCCCATCTTTACTGAGGGTATTCTTGCCTTCCATAATCCTCCCTTAGTTTTCTATTGTTCCTTTTGTCTCTTTTTGGACACCAGAAATTCTGCTAAGAAGGGAGAACAGAACAGCTTCACATTACCTTCTGCATTTTAGTGTGATAAAACCCTTGACCGAAGCCACACTAATTATGACAAAGTCAGGAAACAACCTGTCATATTTGTGTTTCAGTATTTTTACCTTAAAGATGTGTTCTTGTATAATGTTCTGCTTTGGGCCAAAGATTGGGAAAGTTGCCTTTGGGGGATAATAGCTTCAAGAATGTTACAACTGGCTTGGATGCTTGTCTTGTCATCTGAGGAGTTCTGCAAGTTTCAGCTGGAAAAGTAACTTCTCCAAACTCTGCTTTGGGCACATTATGTAAAAAAGCTGCATACAAATTAAAATTATCATGACAATGACATATCTAAATCACTGAACGTATTTTGTGAATGAGAGGTGCTCTCTTGTCTTTTACCCAACTTTCATGCAACCTCCAGAAACATAAAGCCCCCGGGCAGTGCAGGCCCACTCTTGATCTTCAAACTCTCTCTCGGAGAATTATGTGTTCATTTTGTGTATTCAAATGCAGACACACACAAGTGACAGAAAGGATGGAATGGCCACAAAGAAAATTGAAGTTATTCAGCTCTCCATCGGATTCTGGCTCCACTTTGTTGTTGTGATGTGCCATCAAGTTGCCTCTGACTTATGGAGACCTTATGAATGAGAACTCTCAAAAATGTCCTGTCCTCGACAGCCCTGGTCAACTCTGTAAAAATGGCTTCTTTTATGGAGTCAGCCCATCTAGTATTTGGTCTTCCTCTTTTCCTGCTGCCTTCCACCTTTCCCAGAATTGTTGTTTTTTTCCAGAGAATCCTGCCTTCTCATTATGTGCCGAAAGTATGACAACCTCAGCTTCAACATTTTTGCCTCGAGAGATCGTTTAGGCTTGATTTGATCTAGGAGCCACTTGTTTGTCCTTCTGGCAGTCCAGGGCATCCTCAAAGCTATCCTCCAGCACCACATTTTAAATGAATCAGTTGTTTTCCTGTCAGCTTTCTTAACTGTCCAGCTTTCACATCCATACATAATAATTGGGAATACAATATAGATTATCTTTGTCTTGGTCTCCAGTGACACATCCTTACACTTGATTATCTTTTCTAGTTCCTTCATTGCTGACCTTCCGAATCTCAGTCTCCTTCTGCCACACCTATCATCACCCAAAGTCTCTGATTGACCCTTCCACTGTTTGTCGATGGTCCTCCCTCTAAAAAATATGGCACAATAGCTTTACAGGCTGCATTCACTGCACATATTTATTAATTTTAATTGTGTTTGTGTAATCCTCCATGACCTTATTGATACTGGACAACGACGTCAATAATTCTCCTCAGGCTCCTATCTGCCTGGTAAAGAGCTGGAATGGACTGAGCTGCCCCACATGTCTGAGTGCAGGGCCTGACAGCTTTGGAACAATGTGTGCATTTCCCCCACTATAAGCCATTCATTGGTACTCTTAGAATCCACTGCTCATTAATATTGCCGTGGTGTTATCAGAGCAACCAATGAAAATGTCTACATGCACTTTTTTAGAATAATGTAGATTGATTCAGGTGTGCACGCGGCATCTCTGCCACAGTCTCCATATAAGGAGTACAGCAGAAGCACGTAATAGGGTCACTTTGTGCTAGATAGCATGTGCAGAAAGCTTTATGTATTAACAATGCAACTCATGCACTTTACAAATCATGTAAAGATCTTGATCTAAATTTCTGTGAAAGTCCGATATGCTCTACATGTTTGTACAAGGGATGCATTGCCTTAATATTGAAAGCTCACACTGAAATACGTTTCAGCAAGAAACACAAAACAAAACAAAAGGGGAAAAATGCAGCACTTTAAAGACTAAGTGCTATATTTTAAGGGAAGCTTTTGTGGAATAAATATATTTCTTAGCCTTAAAGGTGCCATCGTGACTTTGTTTTGGCTATGTTATACATGCCTCGCCAAAACTGAATATATATGTCATAGATAGCAGAAAAAGTCTGTTCCACATGTAAACATGTTTTTGATGTCTGGCAAGCACATGCATCTGTTTACTGTTGGTTTGCATGAACTCATCAATAGCATTTTACAAATGCAAACAACACATTTGTGGTATGTGAAATTAATAATCAGAGTTTAGCTGATGGGTGACTATGGTTGGCTGCTGTTTTGCTTCACAGGAGCGCTAGGTGCCTGCAGGGGACACTGCTGCTTAATATTGCATCACACGGCAGCTGGTGAAGGGGAGCCAACGCATGACTTAAATAACGGAATCAAAACTACATTGTATAGCATAAACAAATATGCCTTAGGTGGCTATCAAATTAGCTTTCTTATCTTTTTTTTTTCAGTGTGTCATAATAAACGTCTTATATCCTTACTAGAGGTTATTTTGTTAATATCTTGCCTACTCTTGTGCTTTCATCACCAGCTGAGAATAAAAGTGATAAAGATCAGCTTCTGGGTTCAGAATTTTACAGTATGTATCTGTGAATCCGAGCATACTTCAATGTACAGTAGTTATTTTCAGCTGAGCTTGTTAAAGCATGTATTGTGTTTTTTTTTTCCTATTTTGAAAGAGAAGTTCATTTAAGGCTAAAATAGGTAACATGTTACCACTTTAGACTGCATATTCTGTATAGAGTTCTGGTCCTATGGAGTTGTTTTACATGAAGCAAAGTATGAGTCATGCTAATGGAAAGGGCAAAGAAGACTTTTTAAAAGAAATATATTACACTTAAATTAGTTTAGACAGCATGACATCAGAGAGTAATTAAATAGGTTTTTGTTGGAATTCCGCTTCCAATTCCTAAGTTCAGGTTTGTAAAAGATTTCTGAGCACCTGCAGGTTTCTGTGTGTGAAATATTTTCACTGGAAGGGATTCAAAACTTTTAAAAAAACCTTTTAACACAGAGGCAGCATTACGCCATTCTTCCTTCTTGGAAAAAAAAAAAAGCCCTCTCCGATTTAAACTAGAGTCCTTCAAGTTTTTAGTCACTTTTACAGAAGAAAGGGGGGTGGTAAACTTTCTCTTTTCAAGAACGAGCTGCTAGCAGAAACCAGGAGAAGACCAAACTGAATAAATTAGCATTTCCACTATGGGACTGGATACAAAAATTAAACAAGTAGATTTAAAGTGTTTTAAACTGAAAATAAAACACTTGCTGCTGACTTTAGTTTTTAACTTCTTTCATGTTTTCCTATGCCAAACCGGGGGAACCTTTTCTGATTTTTTCTTCGGTAGCATTCAGAGGAAGACCAGAGGATGAAAATCTTGCACTTTCTTACTTTATTGCTTTGGCACTTTAGTTGGCTTTACCTTGCTCTCACTTCCTTAGTGCTGAGTCCTGCTGAAGCAAGCCAAGGGAATCCAGGATCCAAATCAGGATTGTCAAAAGTAGATGGAAAAGAGAGAAACCCTTTGCCAAGGGCAGGTACCTTTAGAGCGGGAAGCCATGGATACAGTGCTGGGAATCCAAAGTCCAGGACAAAAAGTAATACTGCTCAAGCTGGAGCTCTCTTGGCAAAGACTGAGGATTCAAAGAAGACTCTTTCTAAAGCAGGGAATACAGACAAAAAGGTAGGACATTCCACAAATAGACAAACAGGAATAAAGACAGTGACCCCAAAGATTCAGAACTTTGGCTCCAAAGCTCCACAGAAGAAAACTGGTGCAGGGAATTCAGACACCAGTTCCTACAAAACCAAAAAACCTAAAGAGCCTATTGCTGAAAGGGAATCTAAAGAAACATTCAGACATCCTGCTATCACACCACATGAGTACATGCTCTCCTTATACAAGACACTTTCTGATGCAGAACGGAAAGGTGTTAATGGAAGTGTTAAGTTGGAGACTGGACTTGCCAATACAATCACAAGTTTCATAGACAAGGGTCAAGGTAAGAAAATGTAATACTTGCATGTATATTTCTGTGCACTGAATGCATTTCTCAGTTTAATCAAGAAAATATCTGTATTCAGAGGCAAACGTTTGGGGGATCACAGGCATTTGTTATCTCTACAATATAGATTTGCTATTTCTTAAGCATTAAGCTTTGAAATTTGGAAAAGGAATACAGTATTATACTTTTATCACAATGCTATTACTAATATTAGGAACATGTTGTATTTTATAAAGTTATAAAATTATTTAGTTTTCTGCAGAAAATGCATGTTAATGAATGTTGATCTATGGATGGGTTGGATCTAGATTTAATCATATTAGTTAATGCATGGACTGAAATCTGTCAATCTGTTAATCTTTGGTCCATTAATTTCAGTAAGACTTCTCTTGAGTCTGGATTCAAACCAACATTTTTGCTGCAGCAAAACCAGATGGGTCCATTTCTGTTATGCAGATTTGATGTCATGTAAATTTGCATCTGTTTTTTGTTTGTTTGTTGAGGAAATCAAGGTAATTTAGATAAACTTGTTAAATACAAAATAAACAGGAATTTTAATATTTAATCAGAGCTTGTGAAGCTATTTTTGAGGCTAACTCCCAATATCCCTGGTAGCCATCCCTACCTAGAATGGCCAATGGGGGATTCTGGGAGTTCTAGTCCAGAAAAGTAACTTTTCCCACCCATAATTTAGCAATTACAAGCCTGACAGTGGGTCTCCAGAGTCCATCCATATTATTTCTTTGCACGGCCTCAAAGCAACCTGTCATTCCTGGATGGATGAAGTCATGATTTTGCTGAATACACCAGTGTCTCACACAAGCACCACTGAAATGAAAAATGCATACAGCCATATTTATTGAATTTAGCTTGACTCAGTTATTAATCTTTTTTACAGTTTAAATGGAAAGAGTTGAGGATATAATATACACAAATGCCACACTAGGAGATGAATTTTTTACTAGTTTTGTATGAATGGGGATGAAGGCTTTGGACAGCAGTGTCTCTGTATACATAGGTTTTATAGGCAGATTGACAACAAAGCTCTAATCCCCTAGGTCTGAAAATATAGTTAGACAAGTGTCTTTGGAGATAACAGTACATGCTATAGGCTGTTTACCTTCAATTATTAACCATATGCCATAAGTTCTTCTATTTTAAAAAGCTCTCTATGATAGCACAAGACAAATGCATGACTACATCTCTTTATCATAATGTATTACCAAAAGCAAAAGAAAAAAAGGAAAAAAAGAAGCTTGTACTCAAGCTAGCAATCTGGCACCTTGATTCCTACATGCAATTGACTGGAAATGAAAAGTTCCATTAATTAATCTCTATGTAGTGTTTGAAAAGAAACTTCACCCATGAAACAAAAATATTTCCATTTCTGAGTGTGAAAAAGATTATCTTTATAAACTCTGAGGAGTGTGAACTCATAGTAGTTCCATACTGTCATTTTATGACTCCCAAGAGTATAAACTAGCAGTAAACACCACACATCATTACCAAAGGTTGATGATTAAGACAAATTTGTATGTAATGCATAATTTCTTCTCTTTTTTTTCTCTTTAGATGACCGAGCTCCAGCTGTTAAAAAGCAGAAATACGTTTTTGATATCAGCGCATTAGAAAAAGATGGCTTACTTGGGGCAGAACTGCGTATTTTAAGGAAAAAACCTTCTGACACCTGGAAGCCTCATTCCCGTGGGAAAACATGCCAAGTGAAACTTTTCAGTTGCTCCACAAATAGGCAAGCATCCATTCTCTTGGATTCTCGGACAGTCAACATTTTAGATACTGCAAAATGGGAAGTTTTTGACATTTGGAAACTTTTTAAGAATTTTAAAAACTCTGCTAACTTGTGTTTTGAACTGGAGGCTTTTGAAAGGGGGAGGCCTGTTGATCTAAGGACTGTGGGATTTAATAGAACAGGGAGACAAGTCAATGAAAAAGCTCTCTTCTTAGTCTTCGGTAGGACAAAGAAAAGAGACTTATTTTTCAATGAAATAAAAGCCAGATCTGGCCAGGATGACAAAACTGTATACGAATACCTTTTCAATCAAAGAAGAAAGAGGAGGGCTCCCCTCGCAAATCGACAAGGAAAGAGGCCTAATAAGAATATAAAGGCAAGGTGTACCAAAAAAGCACTCCATGTGAATTTCAAAGATATGGGCTGGGATGACTGGATAATTGCCCCTCTCGAGTATGAAGCTTATCATTGTGAAGGACTTTGTGAGTTTCCTCTTCGATCTCATCTGGAACCCACCAATCACGCTGTCATCCAAACATTAATGAACTCTATGGACCCAGAGTCAACTCCTCCCACTTGTTGTGTTCCAACAAGACTGAGTCCTATTAGTATTCTGTTTATCGACTCTGCTAATAATGTAGTCTATAAACAATACGAAGACATGGTGGTGGAGTCATGCGGTTGTAGGTAGCAGTGCAGGGTTTTTAAAAAAAAATATTGCCATCTCTACCAGGCTTTTCCCAGTGGTTGACAAAAAGAAAGTGAACACAGATGCTAAATGATCATGATAGCATCATCAAAAATGGGCTGGGTGAGCAGTAGGTAAAGTGGCATCTTGATGTTGACAAGGAAAGCACACCTTTTTGTTATGCTGACTCTCTGTTGCAAGATCTGCTGTCAAAGCACAGAGATGTAGTATTGTGCAACACAGCAGACTATGGTGGTTGTCACATGGTTAAATTATTCACAGTCACACTCTCATATTCACCATGCTCCTGTCTAATCTAGTCAGCAGATTTAAACAAAGGTATGCAGTGCTGCTGCCCCAGATGTTTGCCACCGTCAGCATCTGAAATAATGCTGACTCAGTCATGTAGTATCCTTGATCAGCTCACAATGCAAAATTGTAGGTTATCAGAGCAGCAGTTGTTGCACTGCATCTTAAAACATGCTTAATCATAAATTGTAGGTTATCAGAGCAGAGATGCACTGCATCTTAAAACATGCTTAATCATGAATATGCAGTTCATTGGATCAAACTATACCATTTAATAGCTAGAACAGATTAATTAATAAGAAGCAGAAAACTGCTTGCGCTCTGTGTCTTGATTCTGGACACATTCTAGCATTAATTTATTATTCCTAAGGCTTATCCAGACAACCATGTTGTATGTGGTTGTTCTGGGTCATTCTGGTATTTTTTGTTGCAGATTTGAATCGATGATCCCAATATTTGAAACAACACATTGATTAGTTGTTGTTGGGTGTACTGGGATGCACTTAGTTGCCCCAGTCCTACTTGCCCACACCTATCCCTAATGTTTTGCTCCCACTATGCATTGCTGCCCTATGAATTAGTTGTTGTTGGATGTACAGTACTGGGATGCACTTAGTTGTCCCAGTCCTGCTTGTCCACACCTATCCCTAATATTTTGCTCCCACTATGCATTGCTGCCCTATTTTTGCCTAGCTTCTCTTCCCACCTACTTCAGTCTCTCCTCCATCTGCTCCTAGTTTTATCTGTCCACGGGACATGGAGTGGTGGAGACTGATACCAGAAAAATGGCCAGAAGGAAACATCAAATGACACATATTCACAGAGTGTGCAGATCAGCATGGAGCAGTGCAGTACATGAGCAATCCTGCACTGGAGCAAACCGTAACAAAATATACCACTACCCAGCAGTAGTGTAAAAAACCTCCAGAAATAGCCACCCAGCTCTGACTCTGTTGACACTAGTTTCAGCTTCGTGTTATGTGGACAATGGGTGCAGCACTTGTAGAGAGGGCGGAAGAAAAATTAAAGAAATTCTTATTGTGGACGAGCTCCTACACTTAGTGCTGGCCCAAGACATTTTTGTGCCTGAAGCAGAGCACTGAACGATATTTCCCTTGCCAGTTCTGCAGATCCTTGTGCCAAGACCAATGCTTTTTAAAGCCTCACTGTACCATTTAGACATCGATTCATGTCTTACTGTAGAGTTACACTGGACCTGCCCCTACTCACCCAGAGGAATCACTTTGGTACAAGAATCCTTCTTCAAATGACATTTACATTTTTCACATAGGATAGGCCTTTGAATCTCTAAGGACTTGACAAATGCAGTGCCAGCAGCTTCTGTATTTTTTCATTTTATACTTTTGGTAGGAGAAAGCTGGAGCAATATCAATCTGTCTCTAAAGGATTTATCCTCTATGTTCATTGTCATCATGTGTAATCACTTCATACGTACTTGGGAAAATGTTTGCTGTCTCCTTTAAACACAGGGATCAACCTAATGAGTTTAATGGAAATAGTTTTGAGCAACATTTCAGATTAACTCTTAAAATTGTATATTTGTAAGTCATTTAATAGAGTGTTGAATTTGTTCTAAACTGTATACATTATACTGTACATGAATTTAAAGAGTTTCTGGCAAACTGTTTCTTTCCATGTATATTTTATTCCAGCTTCTTATCTTTCTTAAATATAAATCTTTAAAATATTTGGTTCAGTTTCTTTTATTATTCTGTCTATAGCTCATGTGTCCCTTAATGCTTGTAGCAAAATAAAAACTTGAGATGTATTAAGTTATTGACAATTTTAAGTGTTTTTAGGTATCATAGTTCCCATAAATATAATTTTATTAAATCTTTGTTTTACGTATTTTGTTCAGTTAATAAAAATCAAAATAAGATGGAAGTGCAGGAGGCTCTTTTTATGAGTATTATGTATATTTGAATGCAGCTGGGAATAGCAAAAGGTGTTTTCTTTGGAGGATACTATGAAAATACCCCGGTGAAAGTGTTATGAAGTGGTCAGTTGTACAAGGTTACTTGGAAGACAAGCAATTGCTCTAATACCCTAACCAGTACAGAGTTGTGTGCTTAAACTCATCAATGTCAATAGTCTGAGCTCCACTATATTGCCTACTTCATCTACTTGGTAATATCTTAACATGATGTGCCCCCCCTTTCCAACATTTTTGTTTCTTCCACTTCAGATGAGGTACCACAGGCTCCAGGAAATAGGATGCACAAAGCCTTTACAAACGCCAATGAGGAAATAAAATCAATTTAAATCAACAAGAGCAATCCTCTATCCCATTTATGTGAAGTGAAAGATATTCCTGGTGGAATGTGTGCTCAGCGAGGGAGGGGAAAGTAAAAAAAAAACAACAACCAAAAAACCCCACATAGTTTTAGAACATCAGAACATGTCCATCTGACTCCTGGAAAGTCTGACAATGTCCATCAGATTGCCATTGAGGATGGGAACTTGCTTCTAGAATACAGTACCTCTGTATCATAATACATGTACCAATCTCAGAGATGGGGACTTGAGTCGCGGGACTCACTGTCACAACAAACCTAATTCGCACCAGTGACTCAGCTCAGGGTCCCCCCCCCGACAACTCAGTCTTTACTTGTGACTCAGAACCCACTGACACCTCCCTTTTTTTCTTGGGGAAAAAGCTTATTTTTAGGGACTCGGACTTGGGACTTGGACTCAGGGCTTGGGACTTGGTAACAAAGACTTGCCAACATCCCTGATCAATCTCCTGGAACTCCTCAGTCTATCTGTCTAGTGCCACATACAACAATGGCCTCTACAGCAAGTCCCCATCCTCCTTATAGGCAAGGGTTAATTCCTCTTACATGCATCACAAACACTACGTTGGAGCACAGTAAAAACATGGGGGGGGGAAGGAGAGCATAAAGAACACCACATGCCATATAGCTTCCTTGTCCAGAGGCAGGCAAAATCTTTATTAGGACTACCTGTAATTTCACAATAGTATGCCAGCTTTCAAGAGAAGACAGAAGCAAAAAGATATTGACTAGATGTCTACAATTAAACCCACACACCGCATTTATACATGACTCCTCAAACCTCCATCTTTGGAATAAGTTTCACTACCGAACTCACCACGGTGAAACAAGTCATATTTTATGAGCAAAAAATCCTAGGTATAAATCAAGGTTCCAACTTCACAGGGGGAAAGTGGACTCTTGAGTCAATCAGACGTATTACTACATGGATGAAAAGCCTGGGTCTGGGCAAGGCCACCTGGGTCTTGTGGTTGGTTTCCTTACTCTGGCAATCCATGTGAACAGTCCCTACCAGTTGGCCTAAACAAGCCAGTCCTCCCCAGGTAACATCACAATATGACTCACTGTCATTTCCCCATCTTACCAAGCACTCCACCATGGCATCTGTAGCTTGGGTTACAGCAGGTGCACTATCTTTTACAGTTCCAGCTATATGCAAGGAATATCTTTATCTGTTGCATAATTTTCTTTACATAACTTGTATGGTTACAGGAGCCTTAAAGAAGCGTGTCTTACAATCACATGTGAAATGTTTTGCTGATATAGCAGTCAGTCAATATATCTCATATTATGCCAAGGTTGCAGGCAAATCCTATAGACCCTCAGTCAAGAAATCTCAACAATAATGTTGGCCAACAAGCTGCACAGATGCATGGCCACACAGTGCTGCATAGGTGTCATGCTCCACCCAGCCAGTGTTGCTGTCCATTTGGTTCCGGTTGAGGATGGAACCTATGTGCAGGGGACAGGGCCTCCACCCCATGCTGGCAGAAAATCAGAGGGAACATTCATGTCGGCTGAAACCCTATTGCTTAGCTATGCTTGCATAACTAGAAATTATGCAAAGGGTAACTTTGTGTCAAGGTGCAAGTGCTATTCATGAAGCACTTCTGCAGGCACATTGCAAAATTGACTTGTGGAATACCTATTGCCTGGGTGTAATGCTTGGCAAAGTTATGCCTGCATAGCTTTATGTAACATGACAACATACAGGATTCCAGTCATTGCATCTGTCATATGTTTAGAATCATGATATAATATGAAAATATTAGAAATAATAAAGTCTAGCTACAAAGTGCAATATCTGACATGCCCCCCAAAGCTCATTCCTCTTTACACAAACTCAACTGAGTAGACACATTTGGGGGCATGTCAATACTTGTTCATATGCTCTCAACTACCCCAAATGCAGATCCTAGACCCTTGTCAGGGACAGTCCACATTCAACAGATTCTATTAGTCAAATCCTGTTGTACATCTCTGCCTGCACAATGGGAATGACATCATTGGAAGTGGCAGATTCCCATGGATGAAAGACTTATTTTTGTGATATCAGGATGGGCATAGCTTGCATGCAACAGAACAGAGTCCTGTAAACCCTGAACTCACAAAAAGAAGGCTTTAATCGGTAGGCATCTGCCACTACCAATGACACCATTACCATTGTTCAGAGGACAGGGTAGAGTTCTGGAATCATATGCCCCTGGAAACTGAACTGGTTGCCAATTTCTTCCTGCTCCCAATTCAAAGTGGTTTTAACCTTTGAAGTCCTGCAGGGCTTGTGATGTTGCTATATAAGGAAATGCCTATTCTGTTATGAACCTACAACATTATGAAAATTAAGATCCTAAGGAAAGGGACACCAAAGGAGACCTGTTCACCTTACTGTCCAAAAAGCACAAACATGAAACAAATGGTATTTGTGAATCTTGAGTCTCATTTATGATGCCATGCGGCTGTGCAACTCTCTGCATGTTTACATGTATGTTCTGTTTAATTGCATACATCTGTGAACATGTTTGCCTATGTACATAGTCAATATGTAGAAGCATAAGAAGACACAGGGGAAAAGCAGAAAGCTTAAAGCTTTACAGCAATAATGATCAACATCAGATTCCAACATGGAGTGTGAAAACTGGCGTCCCCAATTATTATTATTGCCAACTGCCCTGCTTTCCACTGGGGAATTGGCATTAGTCGAATGGTAAAAATGAGAAGAAACATGAGTGGTACAATAATACAGGTTAAAAGTTCAGCTTTCCACCTTTATGATGGCAGATTTCCCCCCCTCATCCCCAGGAGAATGTCTCATTTGTATTTGCTTTCTTGCGTTGTTATCTGTCCCTAGTGATTCTTTGTAAAGGTC